GTCTATAATATCTCTTGAGCGTACCTATATAATGACTAAACGACGCCTAGTTATCTATGTGCTCGAAGCACATCAACCTACCTTGTCTTGGAGTGCGCCAGCGCAGAGTCTCTTCGCTACTCCGAGTGGGGTTCCCCCAACTCGCCGCTTGGCGGCGCTGTCGCCCTTGCTTAGTAGCGCTCGCGCGGCCGCTGCTGGAAACTATGTTTGCAGTGCGCCTCTAATCACCTCCGCGCGATCCGTGACAGACTACCGGCTAATTCGAATCAAATATAAACAGACGCGACCTCCGGACAAAGGAAAGACAAAATAACGATGACTAGATTAAGTAAAGACTAACGTTCACTTTATTCATGCAATTCGAGTACACGGGGGTTTTGCCGAGAGACTTGCGCACGCTAGCGCGAATGACAACACACGCTGTATGAGAGAGAGAGAGAGAAAACCGCGATCACCGCGAACTAACTGCTCGCACGCAACAATTAATCCCTTCGCGCACGCTGCGCGGGGTCGCACGCTATTAACAATAATGGGAAGGTGCACCTACCGCGAGATAGTAGAGGATACGGTGGCCAACCAAGAGAGCTTCCCAATCATGATTATTGGGAATTGGGATCATGATTGGATTATTCACCTTTCGAAAAATTAAAATCAGTTACCGTGTGCCCTAATCACAACAGCAAATACGTAACGACATGTGCATCGAAACATTAAATTAATGAAAAAGTTTTACATCGATGGTTGTTGCATAGATTGGGAAGAGAGCGATGGCCTTGTTGAAGGATTTCTATAGTGATTTTGTTTTTTAAGTAGATAATTTGTAGAATAGCATGTATTTTTTAAGAACACGTAGAATAAGATATTTTTTTGGAGGCCTGCAATGGCTTGGTCAGTATGGCGATGGACTCGCACCTGGTAGGTCCGGGTTCCATTCCCAGTCTCTGCTGATTGATATAAGCACCACTGAAAAAAGTTTCATGTGCTTTGTTCTCAAACACATTGCAAGCCTCCGTCGCTGATTAGCACTGATGGAGCATAAATTGAGCGACTTTAACTAAAAAAAAAGATATAGTTTTATTTGGAAAGAAATTTTTTTCAATTGATACGAAAAAAATATTCTTTTATTTTTTATTAAACCATCCAAAAAAAGCGAAATTCTTCGCTGATGTTGACGACGATAGCAGCAGAAGCAGCAGCAGCAGTTCATCTTTTTATAATAAATTATATATTTTTATCAATAAAAAAAATTTATACAACATTGAATTTAGATGAAAAAAATGTAGTTGAAGTGTTTATATAATGATGACATGTATACATACGATTATTAGTCCTTCTTTTCGTTATTGAACTGATGATAGCCCTTTTATCCAGGAAAATTATTAGTATTACTCGAAAATTTGGAAATAGTTTGTTTCCATGTCGATGATTGTTTTTCTTTTCTTGTGGAAAACGAGAGTACTTTACTTTAAGGTAGCGATCCATTTTATTGGAATACTGGTTGATGAATGATTCGATAATTCTCACGCTATGCTATTTATAGTAGCTTACAACCACGAAGGCTACAAATAAATTAAAGTAATCAGGATTATGTGTTACATTTTTTTTCATCTTGGTATTCACGGGTACTTGCACTCTTTTTTATTAAACCGTCTTCGGTAGGTGAGTCTCACATGCTCACACACACACACGCGCGCGCGCGCACGCGCGTTGAACTACTAAAAATTCATTTTATACTAATTATAATAAATATATATGTGATCACATTATTAGTTATATATATTAGCGCCTCTGGGCCCTATACCAATCGTGTAGCTAATATACACAATAAGAACTGTCCGGGGTACTAGTGGCAGTGGCTCTAGCGATAGAACATCTGCGGATCCAGAAGACGCGGGTTCGATCCTCCGATCTGTCCGTTAATTTTTTTTTCTATAAAAATTTACCTTATGACGTCTAAACAATTTAACACATACATACAGACGTACACACGATGAACGCAAAGCATGCAATCGCACGGGCTCAGAGAGTACATTAGCTCAGTAGGGGCTGAGGGGCACCATGAACCGAAAGTATGGAACATAGAACATACGGGCATCAGCTTGGTAAGGGCGGAGGGAGGGAGATGAGTTGACAGTGCTGAAGCACCACATAGAACGCACGGGCATCAGTTCAGGAGAGAAGGGGGAGTAGGGGGTGAGTCGACAGTGCAGAAGCACGTAAGAGGAGGGAAGGTGAGTTGACAGTGCTGAGCTGAAGATGAACTGGCATCAGCTTAGGGTATCAGCTCAGTGAGCTGATTCCCTCCTGAGCTAAAATCTCTCTTATTTACCTACTCACCCTCTTTTGATAACAGTAGTAGGAAGAGCCTCTTAATTTTTTTCTTACGGTTTTCGAAGATTATTAGTTATTAGTTTTCGAAGCTTATTAGTAGCAATTTCGCATAAACTGAAATAGTTGAGAAGAAAATTGATATAAAAGTTTCAAAAGAGATCTTTAAAATACATAGTTGTAAGGTATACTGAATCATCAAAGGTTGTGGCCATATAGATCATTATGATTTAAGAAGGGAAATCGTATACTGACTTAACAGCAGTTATGGTATGATAAAAATAAAGGTGCACACTTTGTACACTTGATAATAGATATAGCAGAACTGTTAGCTTTTTCACAGTTTACAAAAGTATAATGAAATCCTGAAAAATAATTAGCTATAGATACATATATTATATACCAATTCATTAAGGGTTTCAGTTGCAGTATTCTGTCTAGATTAATATGATAAGAACGGTGTTTCTATCCGTATGGAAACTCCAGATACTGCTAGAGTGTCTTAAAGCAGCTACGACTAGTCAAACGATAGTTGAACGGACATGCTTATTTCTCTCTCTGTCTCTCTCTCTCTCTTTTGCTCTCTCGCTCACTAAAAATCTCAGAATCAGTGACGCTAGCCCTATAGGGCCTCCCCCATCTGCTGCATACTATATATAGCCTATAGGCCGTGTCGTCTCCAACTCTGTTGTAGCGATATGGTAGCTTCGATCTTTCTTCTCCAAATCTTACACTAGCTCCTTTAAACCTATAGGTCCCTATACACTCATGCTACGCTATACCATAGCATACGTCACGTGGGCATAATTAATTATCAGATTAACACCCGCTATCAATTTATCGTAAGCTACCATCATTGTATTCTGATGTAGTCGCTGTCATCGGCTAGCTCCCATCGTATCTAACGCTGGCCACTATGCCTTGCCGATATAAAAGGGGAGGAGAGAAAGGCAGACGAAATGCAAGCATACTGCTTGCCCTCATCACAAGTTCATACACTAGTGTACCACGAATACCGTCAGCCCGTCAAAAAATATTAGTCTTTAAGTGAAATGAATCTTGATTATGAAATAGAACAAGATTGCAAATAATTAATTCATTTTTGAAATTATTTATTAAAATGTTAAATATCAACCTGGAATAAAAGAATAAGATTGGTTTTCTTAATTAAATAACATTATACTGTAAAAATCAGTGCTCACTCACGTTAAAAAGGTGCAAATATTGAATTCGATTATCTTTCGCTATGGTGATAAATAAATTACGAGAACAATCTTTGATCTTCGAAAAGACGATTTTAATCATAGTCAATTTTATGTTGCAACGTTTTAGGTAATATCGTGGGATTCATGGAAATTATTTCTAGAGAAATCTCAATCGTTAAAATTAGCATTTATGCAGAATTATATCGTTGATTATTTCAACTTACGTCCAACAAATTTATAATGAATTCGATATTAACATGATTACTTATACGTAGCATAATGTTACTGTAATTTTCTTTTCAAATTTTAATTTATTTTGCAGAAAGCGTACTGTTTTGTCCTAGAAATACATTAATGGAGCACTTACTCCGCATTTCATACGCAGTGATTTATACTCTATTCTAATGTGGGAATACTTATCATTTTACGGGAACCATGGCAATTTATTGAAAACTCGGGAAATAAAAAAGAAACAACATATGCGAGTAACTAATCCTCTAACGATCGGCTATAACTGCCAAGTTCATCATCGTTTGACTGCACGTACAACTCACATCTCTCTTATTTTTCGTCTCATCGTTCTCCTTTCTTTTCCCGTCATTTGCTCCTAACTCCACTAATAACCTCAATTTATATTTTAAGCAGAAACTTATAGGTATGAGAGTGTATTCCCAATCTGGCACAGTGTGCGGACGTCGGCAAGTGCCTAAACGGAGAAAACCGTCCGGGCCGGTATTCTCACATTATACATAAAACAATACTGTTGTCTAACATGGTTATGTGTAAACATATTGCGAAAATCGGCTAGAGTTTAATTGAGTCAGTTTGTCTTCAGTCTATACATTCCTGCTTAATTACCTGGATTACGTCGATTTACGTCTGTCTTGTTTGTTACGTGGAAAGGTATTATCGTTCTTATGATATGTACGCATTTCCTGGCGGATCAGTTAACTTGGTTTCAACTAAACTAATTTATCAAGTCTATCTAATATTTGTCAACCTAACAAATAAAATAGTCATTTCCAATATTCAGAAAGCTGATGGCTATCCTTATAGGCTCTACAAAACTATTAGAAATACACTTTGATTCTAAATTAACAATCATGATAAACCAATTACTGAAATAGAAATAAAATACGAGTTATATGTTCTAATTCATCATTAATGCAAGCTAATCTTTAACTCTATAATGTTTAATTTTCTGACTCTGTAATATTGTAAATTATCTATTTCACTACCTTGATGGTAAATAACTTATGTAAATTGTTGATATGTTTGTTTAATATGTTCAATGAGAAGGTGATGCCTGGAAGAGTTCTTACTCATTTATTATCTAAAATTGAATACTATAAAATCAACTAGAATCGGACAAAGAAGCTTATTAATTAAAGAAATTGTATATATGTATTAAATAATTATTTGCGCATGGTGGTTCGCTCTCTTCAATTTTTTATCATTTTATTCCAGGAAAGAGCAAACGTTCTCAGCTAACACTGATTCCTTAAATTATCCACATAATGGCTCAAACATCGCTATGAATAAGTCAAATTTTATATTTAATGCTGTCAATGTCTACTCAAAGGCACTTCGACACTTGTGGTACGTAATACATATAATATGATATAAATAGAAATGAAATAAGTTTTGACAAATACTTTAATAAGCAAACAAATATTCGAATAAATATTGAAAACGCCTTTTCCACGCTAATTTCAAGAAAAGTAAAATTTTATATACGTATGTGTATTGATAATAATCTTATATATATTTATCATCCAATAGCGTAGTGATTGGCTGAATAAATTATTATCGAATATTATTAAGAGATGAATTATCCCTCACTGTCAACTGCCGTTTCGATCTAATGCTTGCGTGCCAAGTAGAATTCAACACAAAAGTCCTTTGTACGGAAGTAAATTTTAGCTCGGTTATATATAAAGATTATTTATGTGGAGAAAATAGACACGAATAGCTATTCAATGAACTACCGGGAATGTAGGTTACGACGTATATATACGTCAGGGATCCTGGAAACGAAAAAGATGCCTGATAAGAGATAATTACTCCGGCCATTACAAAGAGCAAAAACAACATTTATTTTCTATCGTAACAGAGATGCTACATTGATGCCGTGTCATCAACGATAAACGAGCAACAGAGTTCGCTCGGAAAGGATCCAACTGCCATGAGCCAGCTTGAATATACGCCCTTAAATATATCCTTGTATCTCTATTGCAATTAACCAAATTGCACAATCTTATCACTAATGCATACTAATGCATTGTAACGGCCAGCCGTAACTTAGTTCTTTTTCAATATTAATTAATAGAAATAAATATGATGAACGGAGCGGGAATCTTCCTGATTTCCCACGATGAAAACGCATTCGAGATAAAGAGATTATATAAAACTTGATAGTTGAACGATCCTCCGACGCTCTATCCTACTTTGTCCCACGCGGATGTGTTGATAGGAGCCTACGATCATCGCGTACGTATACATCGTGAAGCGTTATCGCGCCGATAATGGAAGGGGGCCATAAAAATGCAATTTACTTTTTTTTCCCACCGAATTTTGAGAAAATATCCGTAATAATTAATGGATTTTAATCAATTTTGTAAGTTACCATAATGCGCATCTTTTAAAAATATAACATTTATCCAGTTCAACCCTTGCAATAACAAAACAACTAATAAATAATTTCATGTTTTAAACGAAAATAACAATAGTACCGTAATGAATATTATAATAACTCTTGGAAGTTTTTGGATTTTTATAATAGTTAATTATTGAATTATTGTAATTTATAGTTATTAAATAATCACTATGTATCGTTAAAATTAACGAAGTTTAGTACGATTTTGTATAAGTAATTATAAAATATAGCGTCACTCTTGCTCTTAAAAGTGGCACTCCGAGAGCCATCTCTGGAGAAAAGGGCCCAAGTTAAAAAGGGACGGCCCTTTCTCTCTCTGAAAATTCACGCCCACAGACCAATAAAGAAATCCTAGATACGATTAGAAAATTTCCTACCAATACAAAATTTGGCCGTTATCGCTTCATGGGCCTGAGGAAAGGGATTTCCATCCAACCACCGACTGCTTATAAAAAGCTCTGTACAAGACTGGAGGAGTGGAATGAGTACCAGGAAGTGCCTAATAAAAAGTGACTACCTGTGAGTGAGTGCTGGAGGAAGCATCAGAGAAGACAATTTTGAAGAAGTCAGCCAAAATTTAATCAAGAAGTCACCCAACTACATCCAGAATAGAGAGAAAGAGAGAGAAAGAGGTCAAAGAGCAGAGAGAGCGCAGCCTTAATAACAAATAATTAAATAAAATAAAAGTAAGTAAAACCTTATATCTGGCTATCCTTTTCTTTCTTTAACCCATTTCTTCCCAATCGACCATGAGACTACCGATTGGTTTATCGTCTTGTAAAATGGGTAGAATCGCTTGAAATCGACATGCAAAATACCATTTCCAAAGAAAAAAGACTTGGTCTTTCCGAATCTGCAAACAGATTTTCAAAATTTTGCGATCCAAAAACAATATGGCGGCTCAAAGTTAGTGCAAATTTCATTTTTTATTTTAACTGAATTTCCTTTTTTTTCGAGTAAAGTATGTAACGTATACCTAATAAACAATTTTATTTCACTATCAGTATGGTTGTAGAACTTCTGTTATCGATTATTGATATTTTTGAAAATCCAAAATTTAAAATAGCGGACGAAAAATTGAAAAATTCTGAAAAATGAAGGAAAATGAGAAAATATATATTTCTTGTGTTTTTGAGGGTGCTGATTTGATATCTGGTGGTGATTTTTCAAAATTCTTACACCGAAAATCAATATGGTGCATTCAAAATGGCTGCCAAATTGAATTTTTTCGAAAAATCAAAGTTTTTCGCCAAAATATATTCTCTTTGCGTTTTTGAGGGTGCTGATTTGGTATTTTATGTTACTTTTTGAAAATTCTTGCATCGAAAATCAATATCGAGCATTCGAAATGGTTGATAAACTTAATTTTTTTTACTTGAGTTTTTTTTTTATAAAGTACACATTTTTATATGCATTGAAGCTAATAAATTGATATTTCATTATATATAGTTATAAATCATTTTCAGTGTAAAAATTATGTTTAGTGAATAGTAGTAGTAAATAATTGAGTTACTGAGATGTTTAAAAAGTATGATCATAACTGTCAAAACATTTAGAACATATGTATTTATCGCATTTTTCGCAAAAGTTGTTAGTCCGTTGGTTATCACATTTTTCTCCTGATTTACATGTTTGTTGTGTATATCTTTGAGAACTTTGATGCAAACCATGGTAGGATCTGAAACATTGAACACAATAATGTTCTTTACACAATCATAACAATAATAAGTAGTTCGATCTTTACATACCTTACATACTTTGCGTGCCTTAGAAATCATGACGAGTGAATGTTGAGATAGTGATTCTTCGCTTCGTTTCAAGTTACTCTTATGACATTCTGGTTGTTTTTTAGCTGTTTGTTTATTAGTCAATCTTTTAACAGTTTTAACTTTATTTGAAATTAGAGACTTTGTTTTTCTTTTATTTTTCTCTTGATTAGAAGCTAATAATTCTTTGAATATCTTTAGAAAAAACTCGCTCGTCTTATACTGTCCTAGTTGCTCTGAGACCATGTTCTTTCAATCGTACAAGTAAATCAGGTTAATTAAAATAATTGTCAAAACTGACGTGGTATTTCAAAATTTCATCTGCCGACTTTCTCTGAAAATATTCTTTTAACATTTTTATCACTACTCTAGAACCCAAAGCACATTTTTCTTCGCTACTTGAATCGTGATCGCAGTAAACATCAAAATCTAATAAATATCCCTGAATTGTACAAAGCGCCCAAAGCTTTATTCCAAATCGTACAGGTTTATTTCTTATAAATTGTTTGAGTATGGTACGACCAAAAAATTTAACCATCATCTCATCGATCGAAAGGGCAGACCAAAAAAAATCAAATTGCTAAATATTTTTTCGAAAAATGTTTATTATTTTTCTGACTCTCCATACTCTATCTGCATCATTTCTATCTTCTTTTTTATTTATTTTAAATTTATTTTTTATATTTTCAAATTTATTACGCGACATGGTTCAGAAACTGTATCAGAATGGTACAAAGAATCGTTAGACCAATAATCTCTATAACATTTACGACTGTTGATAATAGAAAACATAACTATCCCAATGAATTTATTCAAATCATCAGTATCAATATCTAAATCATTTTCAGCACTTGCTTTGTAACGGTGCCGGTAGATTTGACCTGCACCGTGTGTCTCCTATCTCTTCCTACCATCGGCATGGACTCATGGCAGACCTATAGCGCATAGTTCACGTGCCTGATGCCTGCCTTTATGTTTTCAGCATCGCTACCGCAACGAGTAAGAAGAAGAAAGATAGAGAGAGGCAGCGGCATTGGTCGACAAGAGCGTGTAGTAACAGGCGTTCTTGTAAGAGAAAAAGAGAGAGATAAGAGAGAAAGAAAAGAACGCGACTAGTGCAGGCAGGCGCGTGACACTGGCCGCGCTTGACGGTGCCGCGTGCCGCCGATTTGGCAAGTGACTGGGGAGAGCGTGAGAAGCAGTCTCTCACGCACTCGGAAGCATACTCGCGGCAGTCAGTAAAAAGTTGCCCACAGCAGAGAGAGGTATACAGACCCCCTGCAGTTAACAAGAAAAAGTCGAGGAGACCAAGACGGCAATAATAATCTGCCCGGGCCCAGCCTACTACTTCCAGCGAGCCCTTTCAGCCACAGATTTGCCTACGGGACGCCATATCTCCATCACCGGCAAGGCGCTGTATCGGAAGGAAATCTGCATACATAAGGTCGTTCTCTAATCTCTCTGACACTCTCTCTTTTAAACTTTATCTAACGGCTACTCGCGGCTTGTGCGCTGTGCCAGGCTCTCACGGGCCGGCACAGCTAGTTTAAGTATTTAAGGTAATTTAAATTATATCGAGTCGGTAGTGAGATGGCAAGGCACTAACGTGCCGGCCATCTCCTTTAGCGATCGGAGATTGTTAGTATAGATAGATAAGGCGTCGATAGAGTGATCGGTCTGTTAACGCTCAAGGTAGCGTATTATAATAAATTGATTTACTGAGATAAAGAGAATAATCATTGTGTTCATACCTTTCTCTTTACCTTGTCAGGAGCAATATACCGCCTCCCTTGCCTTCCCCCTTTTTAAATAATTGGTAATAGCGATAGATTCATCGGCGTTATAGGCCGACACTATTACATGGCATCCCTTGTGGGGAGAAGGGCAAGGTAAATGAGAAAGAGTGATTTAGAGAGTGCGTGTAAAATTTAGCTACGGTGTGCAGTGCGAAAGTGTTCGCGTTCTATGTGAACAAGGGCAAAGTGCGAAGAACAACGCTTCTTTGTTCAGAGGTGTCGGGTCGCGGCGTGGCGGGTCGTTCGTGCTGTGGCGTGTTCTTGTTGTGGAATTTGGCTGGTTGAGGTGTTCAGTTACACCCGTATGACGCATTCCTTTATGTTATTGTGCGAGGCGATAACTTGCCAGCACATGACCCAAGGAAGGCGCGGCTAGTCCAA